TGTGAGTGTGGTCGCGTGGGTGTGGGGCAGGGGTGTGTGTGTTGGGGGGGGGGGGGAGTTTGGGTATGTGTGTGGTTGCGTGGGTTTGCGTGGGTGGGTGCGTGCGTGCGTGTGTGTGAGTGAGTATTCGTCTCAAGTCATTCCACACTGCAGCCATCGAGCTGTCGTTTTGCCCCTTCGTTGTTCCCAGGGCCATTCCTTTCCTTTGCCCCCTTCTTTCTTTCCCGTTGCCCCCTACTTCCTTTCCCTTTCCCCCCAGCTCCCCACCCCTTCCTCCCCCCTTCCCCTTCCCCCAGGGTGCGCAGCCTCCGAGCATCTAACAAAGGAGATAAAGTTCGCCATCGACAGTGGAACAGTTTTGAGAAAGCTCAAACTCCCCCCCCCCCTCCCCTTCCCCTTCCCCCAGGGTGTGGGGCCTCCCAGCGTCTAATGAAGGAGATAAAGCTCGCTGTCGACAGTGAAACAGCGCCCTCTATAGTCACATCCCCTCCGCACCCCCTGGCCCTGCGCTGGATCAACTACCAGCGAGAGAAGGAATTCATGGCCAATAAGGAGCTCTCTCTTCCCGCCGTGCACCTATTCCGCTCCGGAAGCAGTTTTATCTACCGCGGACCACTCACGGCGCGCCACGTGTTGCAGGCTGCGGCCCGGGGAATGGAGATTAAGGAAGAGTGGCTGCCGATTAGGAGGGTGGGGAGCTGGGAGGAGTTGGTGAGAGTCGGGAATGGGTCGAGAGTGGTGCTGGTGCTTGTGGAGCGGTGCGGGTGGTATGAGCAGCTGGTGGGTGGTAGGGCTAGTGGGGGGGAGAGTGGTCGAAAGGGGGAGAGGAAAGAAGAGGTCTTGAAGCAGGAAGGGAGAAGGGGGGAGAAGGGGGGTGAGCATGAGGAGGAGGAGAGGAGGAAGGAGGAGGAAGGGGGTAGCGAGGAGGAGGAGGAGGAAACAGCGGGGGTGGGTAGAGAAAGCAGGGGTAAGGGGATTGTGGCAATGAGTAGCAAGGGGGACGTTTGTGAGGCTGGTGCAGGTGAGAGACCATCATCACCATCCCCTTCCTCCTCCTCCTCCTCCTCCTCCTCCTCCTCCTCCTCCTCCTCCTCCTCCTCCTCCTCCTCTGCCTCACAGCATCTCCCCGACCCCATGGAAGCTAGCAGCAGGCCACCACAGGAAGCAGCTATCCCACCTATCCCTGATTCTCTCCCTACCTGTTCGTTCTCTTCAGGCTCTTCTCCGCCCGCCTCTGTTCTGGGCTCTGCTTCGCCTGCCTCTGCTTCGTTCGCTTCCGCTGAGCCGTCTCCTCATGCGCCTTCTCTACAGTGCGCTAGACCAGACCAGGCTAAGGAGCAAGAGGGGCAGCGGGAGCAAGGGATCGTGCTAGGGCCGGTGCAAGGGGTGGTGCAAGGAAGGCCGCAGCTGGAGGTGCAAGGAGAGAGTGACACGTGTTGGTGGGAGCCCCTTGAGAGGGAAGGCACAGGGAGTGCAGGGGTGTTGCGCGCAGAAGAAGAAGGGGACCCAGAGGGGAAATTCGAGGGAAGGCCAGAGGAGAAGCCAAACGAAGAAGCACCATCCTCACCATCACCATCACCAGCACCAGCACCAGCACCACTATCATCACCATCACCAGCATCACTATCATCACCATCACCAGCACCACTATCATCACCATCACCAGCACCACTATCATCATCATCCCCATCATTCCCCTCCTCTGAATCTGTGTCTGCTGATGTGTGGGTGGATTGTGAGAGTGAGGGCGAGAGGAAGGAGTTTGAGCGGGTAGTGGGAGAGCTGAAGACAGTGGTGCAGGGGTACGCGCTCACGCCGTCCCAGGCTGTGCTCGTGCTGGTCTCAGACCCTGCGGTGGCTGAGCAGGTTTTGGTGAAGGTGGATGGGAGGGTGGGTGGGAATGGGAGTGGTGTGGATGAGGAGGAGGAAGAGGAGGAGGAGGTTGATGAGACGGTGCGTAGTGAAGGGAACGCTGCTGCTGCTGCTGCTGCTGCGGGTGCGGGTGCGGGTGCGGGAAATGTCTCAGATGCTGCTGCAGGAGGCAGGACAGTGGGGTCAGTTGTGGGGGAAACTCTTATACCGGGGCCTGGATGGCGGCTGGTGGCTTTTGTTAAAAGGGGAAGGGATATGGATGGATGGGATGGGGAGAGTGGGGAGGGGATGGAAACGGAGAGTGAGAAAGGACCATTTGAAAAAGCCTGGGAGGAGCAGTTAGACCAGAGCGGGGACATTGAACAGCAAGGAAGGCAAGGGCACGAGAGGCAAGAGCAAGAGAGGCAAGAGCAGCAGCCACGGAGGCAGCAGCAGCAGCAGGAGGAGGAGGAGGAGGAGGAGGAGGGAGGGCAAAAGCAGGAGGAGAAGGAGGAGGAACAATTGCAGCAGAAGGGAAGGTGCGAGGGTGGGGAGGGGACGTTGGAGAGGGTGGGGAGAGCGCGAGGGTGGTTTGAGTACCCATGGGCGGGGGAGCCACACAAGAGCGGGGAGCCGCTGTCAGTTGATGACTGGATGCAGAGCCTCCCACGGCCTCTTGTACAGGAGGTACGTACGTGTGTGTGTGCAGTGTGTTGCTTCCAGTATGCTGCTTTTGAGTCGGCTCAAGAGCGGGGAGCAGCTGTCAGTTGATGACTGGATGCAGAGCCTCCCACGGCCACTCTTGCAGGAGGTACGTACATGTCGTTAGTGTGCTGTGTGTATCCATTGGAGGGGACGGATTGTTGTGTGTGGACCACGGGGGCCTCTCGTGCAGGAGGTACGTACGTGTGTGTGCAGTGTGTGTTGCTTGCTTGCATTGTCTGCTTCACCGTCTGCTGCCGCGTTGTCTTTTCTGCAAGGTACAGCTTGTTCAGCTTCGCCCTGGCTGTCGATCCGGATCAGTGCCCACGCTTGAGTCGACTCAAATGTCACTTCTGCAAGGTACAACACAGCTCGTTCAGCTTTGTCCTGCCTGTCGATCCGGATCCCTGCTCACTCACTCATGGCTTCAGATCTGCCATGCCATGCCATGCCATGCCATGCCGTGCCATGCCATGCCGTGCCATGCCGTGCCATGCCATGCCATGCCGTGCCATGCCATGCCGTGCCATGCCGTGCCATGCCATGCCATGCCATGCCGTGCCATGCCGTGCCATGCCGTGCCATGCCGTGCCGTGCCATGCCGTGCCATGCCATGCCATGCCGTGATGTGCCATGCCCTGCCATGCCTTGCTGTGTTCTCTTGCAGGTTGGTCTGGACGCCTACAGCTCGTCTTTCAACTCCGCGCGTCCCTCTGTCCAGTTTTGAGGCGCCTCAACATTCTGTGTGCGCAAACTCACTCAATCGTGGCTTTCTTCCAAATCTGCTGTGTTGTCATGCAGGTTGGTCCAGACGCCTACAGCGCATCTTTCAACTCCAAGCGCCCCTCCGTCATCCTCCTCCTAGACTCCTCTGTCTCTGCTGCCCTTTCCGCACCCCCCAATTCCTCCTCCTCGTTTCCGGCCTTTTCAAGAGCACCAGCACCAGCAGCAGCGCCAACAGCAGCTGCGGAGAGTGAAACAGCAGCACCAGCAGCACCAGCAGCAACAGCAGAAACAGCAGCAGCGGCTGCAGCTGATGCTCTTCTGAGAGTGGCACGGGTGTTTGCTCAAGAGGAGGAGGCCAAGCGACGAGCAGCGGCAATAGCAGTGGCTGCAGCAGCAAGAATGAGGCAGCATGGTTCCCCAGAAACTGTTTCCGCTGCTTCTACTGCACCTGCTGCTACTTCTGCTACTGCTGCCGCTGCTGCTGCTCCTGGTGCTGGTTCTGGTGAGGGGTTACAGAGGGAAGGGGTGCGCTCAGAAGCCAAGATTATCAATCTCGCTAGGGATGGAGGAGGGGGTGGAGCGAGGGGAGCAAGAGGAGGAGAGGGAGGAGGCGGAGGTGGAGGAGGAAGAGAAGTGGGCAAGTCGGGTGGTGAGGGGAACGAGGAGGGGGGAGAGGCAGCAAGAATAGGAGCAGCAGGAGGGCTAGAAGGTGTGGTTACCCAGGCTAGATTGCTGCAGGTGTTGCAACGTGCCCTGCAGGAAGGGGGAGTGCGAGGGATTGGTACTCTGCAGCAGCAGCAGCAGCAGCAGCAGCAGAAGCACCTGCCGCAGAAGAAGAAGCAGCAGCAGCAGGAAAAGGGGCAAGGGGTGATTGTGCAGCAGGTGCAACAGGTGGGGCAACAGACGCCGCAGCAGCAACAGCAGCAGATGGTGACAGTGCAGCTCGGCCCGCAAGGGCTCGCTGGTGGGCTGAATGACGTTCTAGGGTCAGTGCTTAAAGCCGTGCAGCAACACCAGCAGATAAAGCAACAGGCACAGGTGCAGCAGCAGCAGCAGCAACAGCAGCAGCAGCCAATCCAGCAGCAGCAACAGCTGAAAGTGGTGCAACAAGAGAAGGTGCAGCTACAGGCTCAGCGACACGAGGACAAGCACACATTGCAAGGCAAGGGGGATGGTAATAACGGGGACAAGGAAGCTGGTGCTGAGGGTGGTAATAGCGAGGACAAGGAGGACAGTAACGAATACAAGGGGGGTTATAGTGATAATGACAGCCTAGAGAACAAGGGTGGTTACGAGGGGGATGTGGGGACAGTTGTGGGAGGACGTGGTGAAGAAGGGGAGGGTAACAATGCTGCTGCTAGCGGGGCAGCGTTTAGTGAGGCATTGCTGGAGCTTACTGGCGGTGACGGAGAGTCAAGGGGTGAGCAGGAGGGAGAAAAGGGGGGGTTTTCTGGGTTGAAACGGGATGGAGGGGGGAGGCAGGGAGAGGAGAGGGAAATGGGGGAGGAGGGAGAGGATGGGTTGATTGGCAAAACGCAAGGGGTAGGTGGCAGTAGTAATGCAGCTGATGCTGATGCTGGTGCTCATTCTGACTTGACTGGCAGCGCTGATTTTCCTGTGGCTTCTGGTCAGCGTGCTGCTGCTTCTGCAGTTTCTGCTGCTTCTGGTGTCCCTGGTTCCTCGGACTCTGCTCCCCCTGCTGCCTCTGGTGCGTCTGGGACCATTCCTGCTGCTGGTGAAGCGGAGAGGGAGAACGAGGGAGGAAGAGAGAGCGAGGGAGGGGGCGAGAGCGAGGAAGGGAGCGAGAGCGAGGGAGGGAGCGAGAGCGAGGGAGGGAGCGAGAGCGAGGGAGGTAGCGAGAGCGAGGGAGGTAGCGAGAGTGTGAGCGAGGCAGCAGGGTACGCGGTGGAGTGGGAGGATCTGGTGGGGCCAGAGGCGGAGGAGAAGTGGATAGACGACCTGCCCTTTGCCTTCTTCATTGTGGACCGGGACGACGCCCTCAGAGACCGCCTCATTCCGCCCCTGTATTCTCCTTCTTCTCCGTCCGCTCATGCTACATCTCCTTCCTCCCCCTCCGCCACCTCCTCCACCTCTTCTTCCGCCGCTCCCCCGCCCGCTCCCTCGCCTGCTCCCTCTGCCTCCTCGGTTCCTCCTCCCATCACCTCGTCGTCCCCACCCTCCTCCGACCTCCCAGCCCTAGCTGTTCTCCACCCATCTCAAGACGCAGTCTACCATTACCCCGGGAATCCCACCGACGCAGCAGCCCTGCTCTCCTTCCTACGCGCAGTCTTACAGGGCCAGGTGCAGCGAACCTCGCGCTCCTCCTCCCGCCCCCCGCCCCCACGCCACACGCCCCCCGTGCCGTTTCTCAATGCGGAGTTTCAGGAGATAGAGGGGGTGGAGAGGGTGTGTGCGCAGGATTTGATTCAGTTTCTGGGGCAGCGGCGGCGGGAGCATGAGTGGGTGGTGCAGCAGCGGCAGCGGTGGCAACAGCAGCAGCGGTTGCAGCGGCAGCAGCAGCGGGTGTTGAGAGAGCAAAGGAGGTGGCGGAGGCAGGTGAGGCAGCAGCAACGGCAGCCGTCAAGAGAGGGGGACAGGAGTTGGGGTGAAGGAGTAACTGAGAAGGAGCATATGAAGCAGCGGCGAATGGGGTCAAGAGAGGGGGGCAGGACAGAGGATGAGGGAGGACGATTTGAGGAGCAGAAGAGCCAATGGCAGGAGCAGCAGGAGCAGGGACAGGAGCAGCAGCAGCAGCACCTACATGCACAAGGTCTTGGTGCTGGTGCTTCTCAACTGGACAACCGACTGGACCCCCGGCCCCTGGCGCTGCTGCTAACCACTCCCTGGTGTGGCTTCTGCCGGCGCATCGAGCTCGCGTTCAGAGAGGCACACCGCGCACTGCTCATGCTCCCATCAGGTCAGCTGATGATTGCCCCTTCACTCAGGCATATTGCTTGCCTTGGTGTCACTGCCTCTCCACCAGCTTTGTGCTAGGCCCCTTTTTCTTACCTCGCTCTCGTTCCCTCTCTCCCCTGCTATGCCCTGTTATGCCCTGCTATGCCCTGCTATGCCCTGCTATGCCCTGCTATGCCCTGCTATGCCCTGCTATGCCCTGCTATGCCCTGCTATGCCCTGCTATGTTCTGCTATGCCCTGCTATGCCCTGCTATGCCCTGCTATGCCCTGCTATGCCCTGCTATGCCCTGCTATGCCCTGCTATGCCCCTGCTATGCCCTGCTATGCCCTGCTATGCCCTGCTATGCCCTGCTATGCCCTGCTATGCCCTGCTATGCCCTGCTATGCCCTGCTATGCCCTGCTATGCCCTTGAGGATCCATGCATGCATGTGCGTGCGACCTTCTAGCAGGAGATGTTGCTTCTTCTGCAGATATGCATCATAATCTCTCATTATCTCATGTCTCTCCAAGTTCTCCCCCCTTTCCTCCCCTCTGCTTCGCAGCCATAAACGCATCTGTGCCAGTCCAGCAGAAGCAGCAGCAGCAGCAGCAGCAGCACTGGGGTTTGAGGAAGGCAGAAGGGAGCACGGGGCAAAGAGCAGCAACAGGGGCACGAACAGGAGTAGCGGCAGCAGCAGCAGCAGCAGCAGCAGATGGTGTGGGAAATGTTGTGAAGGGCGATGGGGGTATGAGAAGCAACGTGGAGGGAGGAGGAGTGGAGGAAAGGGAGGAGAAGGAGGAGGAGGAGGAGGTGGTTGTTGGGGATGGGGGTGGGGATGGGGGTGGGGATGGGGATGGGGATGTGCACTCCTGGCTGGCGCACCTGCCTCATCTGCTGCAGATTGACTGCGCTGTGAATGACTGCCACGATGTGCTCCTGCCCTACTGGCAGGTGAGTGAAAACAGTTGTGGGGTGTATGCACGGTGCTTGAGAGGGAGAGAGAGCGCGAGTTTGTGTCTGTCTGTGGAGGCGTGTGGGTACGCGCCCCACTGGGAGGAGCGTGAGAGGTGTGTCGTGCAGTCGCACCTGCCCCTCGTCTGCTGCGGATCGACTGCTCTGTGAATGACTGCCACGTTGTGCTCTTGCTGTACTGGCAGGTGAGTGGGGCGTGAGATGGTTGAGTTGAGAGAGAACAAGAGAGGGACGTGCATGTGCTCCTGCCGAAAATGGCAGGTGCGAGATGGATTTGAGATGGTTTTGAGATGATTTTAGATGGTTTAGAGATGGTTTTGAGATGGTTTTGAGATGGATGGTGCTGGAAGAGAATGAGAGCGGTTTCTATGTGCCTCGCTGTGAATGGCTGCCATGATGTTGCTCTTGCCCCTTACTGGCAGGTGACCTGGGCCTGCACCTGCTTTAAGAGAGTTACTTTTGACAGATGAACAGCAGAACAGCAGAACAGCAGAACAGCAGAACAGCAGAACAGCAGAACAGCCCCTGTGAGAGCCATCCTGTGTGCCTGCACCTCCCACTGCGCTCATGCTCCCTCTGCCCTCCTTCCCTTCCCTCTTTGTGCAGATTACAGCCTTCCCTCTCGTCGCTCTGATCCCTCCCCTGCCAACTCTCCCCCCCTCGGCCCTCTCCTCGTCCCGCTCCTTCCCCCACGCTGCCTCGTCTTCTATCCCTGCTCATCCGAGTTCTGAAGTTCCTCACAACCAGAATTCTTCTGCATCTTCTATGCCTGCTGCTGCTGCTTCTGCTGCTGCTGATGCTGCTGAAGCTGCTGCTGCTGCCGTTGCTTCCCCTGCCGCTGATTCTCCTTCTCCTCCTGCTGCGGCTGCTGCTGCTTCTGGGGAATGGCTGGGGAAGGAGGGGATGTGGGAGAAAGGGGACGAAGCAAAAGAGGGACAGAGAGTAGAGGAAGAGGAGTTAGAACAGGCAGAGGAGGCGGAGGAAGAGGAGGACAACGAGGAGGACGAGGCGGAGGAGGAGCAGGATGAGTATGAGGAGGAGGGTGAGGATGAGGGTTATGAGGAGGGGGGAGGTGTGTCCAGCAAGAAGGATGCTTGGGTTCCAGTGATTTACAGAGGGGCGCATGCAGTGCGCCCCCTCATTGCCTTCCTCATTAACCACACCACCCTCCCTCCCGCCGCTGCTTCGAGAATCCTGCAAGGCAAGTTTGGGACGGGCAGGCTTGTAGTTCGCTAATCAAGTGGAACATAGCTCGCTGCTTTTGGAGGGACAGCATGAGGATGAGCTATCGTGCTCGAGAATGATCATGCGAATGAGGGTGAGGAGAGTGGTGTGTGGCATGATAGCGTCAGGGACGAAGGATGCGTGGGTTCCAGTGATGTGCAGAGGGGCACACGCAGTGCGCCCCCTCATTGCCTTCCTGGTCAACCACACCACCCTCCTCCGGGCCGCTGCTTCGAGAACCTTACAAGGCAAGGCAGGGAAGAAAGACTTCGCTGCATTTAGACAGACATCTTGAGGATAATCTGCTTTTGAGTGGACCCAAAATGATCCTGCAAGGCAAGTCAGGGAGGGCAGACCGAGGTTGCTGCTTGTAGAAGGTCAGCATGGGGATGGGGCTGAATATGTCAAGCCCGCATCCCCCTGACGAAGCACGCTTTAGGTTTAGGCGCCTTTGGTAAGCATTCTACTGCCTAGAAGGTCCTCTTTTCAGGGTGTTTCTGAAATTTCTCAAAAACACCCTACTGCCTATAAGCTTAGTTGCTACAAACGCTCTGGCAGACGCGCGTTTAGCGTTCAAACGCTTGCGTTTGAACGCAAACGCCAAACGAACCCTAAAACGCAAATGCTCGCTGGGTTTTTTTTTCGGGCTGCCCCCTGGAAAAAAAATCGAAAAAGATTAGGGCGAAATTGAGACTTGGCGAATTCAGCGCGACATTCGCCAAGTCCCAACTCCCAACCATCTCGTCAATATTCACCTCCCAACCAACTCCCCCCCCCCCAACCGCACTCCACACATCGTCAACTAGAGCTTCCAACCCCCCCTCCTCACATCTCGTAGTTTCACGCAGACTCCCAATCTCCTTCCCGCGTCAGATGTGCTTTCTAATTGCCGCGCGCCATAGCCGTAGCAACTTTCACACCCCACGCAATACCTTAATTTAAGGGCGCTCTCCCATATGAACCCCTGAGAGCGATGCGGATGTTGCTGTTACAGCGTCCGCATGTTGCTGAACCATGAGGTCTATAAATACTTCCGCGTTCTAGTATGACGGATTTATTTTTCTGGGCGAGCGCCCATAAATGTTCATGACGGATTTATTTTTCTTGGACGAAATGGTTGCTTGCAGAACCCCCATTTTCCCACCCCCCCACAGGAAATTTTTACCCCTGCCCGGGCAAAATTTTTAGCCCTGCCCGGGCAAGCGTTTGCCTAGCGTTCACATACACTATGACAAGCGTTTAGCGTTCAAACGCTAGCGTTTGAACGCTAGCGTTCAAACGCCAAACGCGTTTGTAGCAACTAAGCCTATAAGGTCCTCCTGACCATCTTCCAACGTATGTGAAGCATCAGCCACTGTTTTTTTCTTCTCATCATCTTCCCCCTCCATCCTCCTCTTCCCTTCCCCTCCTCCTTTCCCTCCCTGCAGTCCTGCTAACCACACAACTCTGCCCCTTTCTGCCACCCGAGGCCCCTCATCCCTCCCCTACTCCCTCTCCACTTCCCCTCTCCTGATCCTCTCCCCTCCCCTCCCCTCCCCACTGCTCCCCTCCTGCATTCCTACTAACCACACGAGACGGGCCCCCTATGCTGATGCACCCCATCCACCTTCTGAGGCACGCCAAAACTCATCCCTCCCTACTTCCTCCTCCACTTTCCCCCTTCCCTCCTACTCCCCCTCCCCCCTCTGGCTGTCATACAAACCACACGAGACCACCCGCCATGGTTGATGCGTCTCTCCTGCCTTTCAAGGCACCTCTAAACTCATCCCTCCCCTGCTTCCTCCTCCACTTTCCCTCCCCCCCTCCCCTCCCCTCCCCTCCCCTCCCCTCCCCTCCCCTCCCCTCCCCTCCCCTCCCCTCCTCTCTGGCAGTGCTACTAGCCACACGAGACCGTCCTCCCATGGTTGGTGCGTCCCTCCCGCACCAGTCACACACCCAGGGCAGCAAAGCCTCGCCACAAGAAGGAATGGTGGGGCTAGCAGGGGGAAAGCCAAGAGCAGAAGTACAGGCAGCGCCAAAAGGAGAAGAACAAGCAGGGGGGAAGGCGGAAGAGCAGGAGGAGCAAGTAGAGCAAGTAAGCAAGGGGAGGATTTTGAAGGAAGAGGAAGGGGGGGAGGAGGAGAAGGAGGAGGTAGAGGGGGAGGAGGAGGAGGAGCGTAAGGGGGAGAAGGGAGGAGAAGAGGGCAGGAGGGGAGATTCAGGGAAGCTTCAGAAATACGTGGTGGGGGAGAGTGGGGAAGGGGGGGAGGAAAGAGATAGGGCGCTTCGTTTGGAAGGTGGAGTTGCACTTCCTGCTCTTGCTGCTGCTCCTGCTGCTGCTGCTCCTGCTGCTCCTGCTTCTGCTGCTGCTGCTTCTGCTACTGGTGCTTCTGGGCGTGACAGTGCGTCTGGTGGTACTGGTGCTCTAGCAAGTCCTTCCTCTATTTCTGACACGGCTTCAACGCCCTCGGACAGCACCACCTCCTCTGAAGGGCTTGCGGCTGATGCAGAGGTAGAGGAGGAGGAGGAGGAGGAGCAAGGAAGAAAGCCAAGGCAACGAGGGAAAAGGGATGATGCTGGTAGTAATGCTGCTGCGCATTCTGATGCTGATGCTGATGCTGCTCCTGCTGCGGCTGCTGCGGCTGCTGATGGTGCTGATGGTGATGCTGATGCTGATGAGAAGGCCACTGGCAGACAGCCCTTTGGGGAAGCGCGTCAGTGCGTTGCTGTTGATAAGCCCTCGGCCGGGTCGTTCCTTGTCGCCTCTGAGGATCTCATCAACTCCCCAGTAAGCCCTTGTCGCTTTATGAGGTGCCTAAAAGAAAGTGTGTCGCTCTCAATAAGCCTTTTGCTGGGCCGTTTCTGGTTGCCTTTGAGGATCTCATCAACTCCCCTGTAAGCCCTCACCGCCTGCGCTCTGCATTTGTCCACATGTGTTAGCCCTGTAAGCTCGCAACACGTGCACTCTGCATTGGTCCATACATGTTAGCACCTGCCGTTATTGTGCCCTCTCAGTGCTCCCGCTATTGTGATTCCTTGCCTACCTCACCAGCCCACTCCCCACTTTGGCTTAGCTCCTTCCTTCCATCCCATGTATCCCATTACATAACACTCCACCTCATGTGGAGGTGACTTTTGAGTCGACTCAAAAGTCACTAGCCCACTCCCCTCTTCAGCTTAGCTCTTAACTTCTGTCCCATGTATCCGGCTCCCCTCCACCATCTCATGTGGAGCCTTTTCTGTGAACTCCCCTCCTTTCTACACCATGCTACCATCTCTTCTTGTCATTTACTTTTCCAATCCCCCAAACCCACTTGTCTGACAGATGTTGGAGCGCACGGTAATCCTCATGCTCTCTCTCAACTTCTCCGGCCCCATCTGTGGGGCGCCTAGATTATAATTTTGCCTCTATTATTTCCTTCTTAAGCACCGCTTCCTCCTCTCTTTTCACTTGCATGACAGATGTTTGAGCGCACGGTGATCCTCATGCTCTCTCTCAACGACTCCGGCCCCATCGGCCTCGTTCTCAACCGCCCGCTCTCCTGGAAGTTTGTCTCGGGCGTGCAGGATTGGCTCCTCTCCCGCGTTTACTCCGCACCGCTCTCCCTCGGGGGCCCTGTGATCAACCCCACGAGCGCGTTCGCAGCGCTCACACGCCGCTCCTCCTTTGCCGGGTTCCAAGAGGTGCTTCGGGGGGTCTACTGGGGAACAATGGAGGCGCTTGTGCGAGCCGTGGGCCTCATCGACGGAGGAATGACATTTCCGGAGGAGTTTTGGTTCTTTCTGGGACTGTCGAGCTGGGGAGCGAAGCAATTGGACGAGGAGATCAGCAACGGGTGGTGGTATGTTGCGGATTGCAGGCCGGAAATGATTCGATGGCCGACCGAGTGGTCGGAGGAGGCGGCAAGGAAGGCTGATGAAGGCGGGATGGCTGGGGTGTTTAAGAAGGCCAAAGAGGCGAATGAGCGGTTGTGGATTAGGGTTCTGGAAGCGATGGGAGGGAAATATAGGGAGATTGCAAGAGCACAAGGGGGAAATGGAGAGCAATAGGTAGACTGGTGGATAATTGCGTTGTGATATATTTGCAACAAAATCTGCGGAATAGAACTTTCAACGTTCTCATTTTGTTGTGAACACTCTCCCTCCTTCGCACAGTACCGAGATCGGTCTAATGTCGCGGAAGTGTTGGGGCGCATTTCTCTGGTGCATGAATGGCACAGCACCTTCAAGCCAGGAACACCATGTCTGGGCGCCCTCCGTACCTAGCTACTAGCTGGTACGGTAGCCTGCGCCCTCCCTGCCTCCCTCCCTGCCTGCGCACTCCAGTCGTCGTAGCCCGTCGCCCGAACCCGTAGCGCGGAAAGCCGAGCCTGATCTCATCTTCTTTTGCCTCAGCAAGACGGAGAGAAAGCCGGCCTCTCTTATCTTTGAAAGCGCTCGTTCTTGAGCCGACGGCCTTGGTTTTGAGACGTCTCAAAACCAACCTTATACCTTGGGGACGCACGATTCAACCGCATATACGCGCCTGATTTTTTAGCCGACTCAAAGGTCTTGAGCCGACGGCCTTGGGACGCACATATGCGCCCTGGATATAGCATGAGGGGTTAGCGCGACGTGTACGCAAGGGGGTGGTAATCATGGGCGGGTGGCGGCGGTCTGGTTAAGAACTGGAGTTGAGAAGTTGAGGGATTTGGGTTATCAATACGAGCTTCACAGCTTCACAGCTTCAGCGCTTCAGAGGATCAAATCTTTAGAGATTCAGCGCTTCCGAGGTTCAGAGGATCAAATCTTTAGAGATTCACCGCTTCCGAGCTTCAGAGGATCAAATCTCTAGAGATTCAGCACTTCAGCGCTTCAGCCGCGTCCCTCACTGGGAAAATCTCCCGTCCCTCTGGGAGCCGTCGGCTTCACGGCCGCGATGGGTGGGGGGCGGGAGATTCTCTCTCTTTTGCGCCGACGGGTGACGCGCAGCTGCATGGGAAGCGCTGCAACTGCTACCAGCAGCACTGTCAGCCGCCGCAGCTGCAGCAGCGGCTGCGAAACAAGCAGCAGCAGCTCTAGTAACCTGAGCAGCAGTGCGACCTGTTGGGACTATGACTCGGCATGTGTGCATGCGCTGAATTCCGCTCCTCTTCCTTCAAATGCCCCTACCAGTACTCACCTGCATATCCATTCATTTGTGATACAATCGTCCTCCCCCGCGCCCATTCACCATGCCGCTTATTCCCCTTCCCCTCCTCCTTCAACTGCTCCTAGTCACCTGCATATCCATTCGCTTGTGATACAATCGTCCTCCCCCGCATCCATACACCATGCCGCTTATTCCGCTTCTCCTTCAAATGTTCCTAGTCACCTGCCTAACCATTCGTTCAGTATACAAGCGTCCTCCCCTGCGCCCACTTTTGAGTCGGCTCAAAAGCGCCTACGTATCCATTCGTTTGTGCAAGCGCCCCCCCCCGCGCCCATTCGGCATGCCCGTCATTGGAGCCCCGCTGCAGCCAACTCCACCACCGTAGCTCAGCCTCCCCCTATCACCGCCAGCAGCAGCAGCAGCATTAGAGTTGCGCCCATCACCACTTCTGTCAGCAGCACTCCATTGTTTTGTGATGGCCTTAACACCACCCGCTCAACACATCCCCCTCCCCTTCCCAGCATCCATACAACACGGCTTCCTTCGTCCCCCACCATCCTCCCCTCGCATGTTTCCCCCGCCACCCTCCTAACTCGCACCACCACCTCACCTGCTCTTCAGTACCCGATTCTTCCAGGAAGCTGCCGCACGCACATGGGTCACGGGCATGGGCATGGGCATGGGCATGGGCATGGGCACATTGGGGGGATCGTGGGGTGTAAAGGAGGGAGGGGAGGAGACAAAGGAAGAGGGGGAGGGGGAGGGGGAGGGGGAGGGGAAGGGGGAGGGGGAGGGGAGGGGAGGGGGAGGGGAAGTGGGAGGGGGAGGGGGAGGGGGAGGGGAAGGGGGGGGGGGAGGGAAAGGGGGAGGTCGCAAGGAGGTGGAGGCTATAACGCGTGTGGGGTTTTGGGCGGACGTGGGTTTAACCGGGATCAAAGGGGTGGCCGGGTGGCTGTCTGGCAGTGCTGCAATCATTGCGGATGCCGCCCATTCAGTGTCCGATGTGGTAAGGAACAGCCAGGCCAGGTTGCTTGCCTTGGGTGCGCTGGCGGCTGCTTGCCTTGGGAGCTCTGGCGGGCACTGCGCGCTATCATCTGGTTAAATTGTTAAGTCGGGTTTTGACAAGTCGCGTTTCTTGAGAAAACGTGTTTTGTTTCACGTGACTTGGGTAACTTGGGTGACTTGGTAACACATGATATGGGTGTGTGTGGCATCCGGTTTATGATGGTGGGTGTGTGGGGGAACGGCAATTGCCCATTACCCCACTACCCCATCCCTCCTTTCATCCCCACCGCTCTCCCTCCTCCCCACATCTCTCCCATCTCCCCACCTCTCTCCCTCCTCCCCACCTCTCTCCCATCTCCCCACCTCACTCCCTCCTCCCCACACCTCTCCCATCGCGCCAACTCTCTCCCACTGCCCGATCGCGCCAACTCTCTCCCACCGCCCGATCGCGCCAGGTGCTGAGCTGGGTGACCCTGTGGTCCGTGCAGGCAGCATCTGTTCCTCGCGATGCCAACCACCCTTACGGTCAGCTCCTGCCCCCTTGCCACCACATGCCATTCTGCCTCTCTTCTTCTCGAGGCGGCTCAAAACGGTTCTTTAGGCCCCTCAAAATTCTTCAGCTGCTCACTTGCCATGCCACCGCATGCCATGCTCCTCTCCCCCTCTCATCCCATAGATGTGTAATAAGACGATTTTTTTTGTCGACTAAAAAATCGACTTATTACACACAAGCTGCAGCTCGGCCGAACGCTTATGGCTGCTACACATGCCATGCTCCTCTCTCCCCTTCTCATCTCATCTCGTCCCTTCCCTTCCCTTCCTTTCTCCTCGCTTCTCTCCTTTTCTCGTTCCTTCGCTTTTCCGTCTCGTCACGTAGCTCCTCGTGTCTCCTCTCTTGAGGCGCCTCAAAAGTAGTCTTGTCACTAAGCTTCTCATATCTCCTCTCCTTTCCCCTTCGTTCTCCCCTTTTGTCCCTCCTTTCCCCCCCCACAACACGTGCAGGCCATGGCAAGTTTGAGACGATGGGGGCGCTGAGCTCCTCATAGGCACGGGGGGCGGCATGGCATGGCACGCGCTGCACCTGCTGCAGGACCTCCTCCCGGCCTCCGTCTCCCATCCCCTCCCCTCAACCCCCACCCCCCCCCCCCTCTCCCCACACACTTGCAGGCCATGGCAAGTTTGAGACGGTGGGCGCATTGGGAGTGTCGCTGCTCCTCATTGGCATGGGCGGTGTGTTTTGAATTGGCACGTGCTGTCTCGTATCCACACCCTTCTCTGTTGCCCACCTCCAGGCCATGGCAAGTTTGAAACAGTGGGGGCGCTGGGAGTGTCATGTCGCTGCTCCGCATAGGCACGGGCGGCGGCATGGCATGGCACCCGCTGCACCTGCTGCAGGACCTCCTCCCAGCCTCCGTCTCCTCTCCCATACTCTCGTCTCCCTCCTCTTCTTTCCCCTCCTCTCTTCCCCCTCCCCTCGCCTCCCCTCGCCTCCCCTCCCCTCCCCCCCACTCCCTTCACACCTCCAGGCCATGGCAAGTTCGAGACAGTGGGCGCATTGGGAGTGTCGCTGCTCCTCATAGGCACGGGCGGCGGCATGGCATGGCACGCGCTGCACCTGCTGCAGGGCCTCCTCCCAGCTTCCGTCGATGCACTCACATCCAACGCTGCCTCTGTGGGGGCTGCAGGGGTGGAAGTAGCCGATGCTGCTGCTGCAGGAGCAGGAGGGGCAGCAGCAGCAGGAGCAGGAGGAGGAGCAGGAGCAGAGGCAGTCGGAGCGTTGACGCATGGGCATGGGCATGGGCAAGGCATCTTGGGGAGTGTGCAGGGGAGCAGCGAGTACATGCCGTTGGCGCTTGCAGCGGCGGTGGTGTCCATTGGGTTCAAGGAGAGGTTAGTGGGTTGACCATTGAGCTGTTGTTGACGGTAGAGGGAGGTGTTTTTCTGTGATAGTTTTTGAGAATGGGACTTTAAAAAGAGTATCGATGGGGCTCAAGGAAAGCTCAGTGGGGAAACTGGTGGTGTTGGGGGCGATTTTCCAGTCGACCCAAAGATCGTCGCTGCTGTTGGGGGCTGAAGGAGGTGCCTTTTGAGTCGACTCAAAAGGTGTTGTGTGACATTGTAACGCGGTGACTTTTGAGTCGACTCAAAAGTCAGCTGTTGGGGACGGAAGGAGGTGCTCGCTATTTGAAAACAGGAGAGGGTAAATGCACGCACCGAAGAATCCAGCAGTTACGGTGTTGTAACAAATCATCCAGCACTCAGTTACAATACACCTGAATCATTGTTCACAAATCACGCTTCTGCTCTCCTATGTGATGTGACATCAATTAACCCCACCTGACTAGCTGGGCGGCTGACTGATACCAGAACAATCTCACACTCGTCATGCACTTGCACACCCTCCTCCTTGACTTCACCCACAACAACCCATCCCTCTCCCTCCTCCCCCCACTCTCTCCCCCTCTACCCCATTCTTCCGCTCCCCGTCCTATCCAGCATGTACTGGGGGATTAAGTGGGGGTTGCCGATAGCCACAACACTTATCTCATGCACACCTTACAAACAACCACTTATCTCAAACCCCCACTCCCCTCCTTTGCCCCCCATTCAATCTCTATTAGGCGACCAAGTGTGTGGCTGACCGCTACGACAACCACCTTATTCGCACTTGCCCACCTTCCTCCTTCACCTAACACACAACCCCTCACCCCTCTCCCTTCCTTCCTTCCTCCTCCCCTCACCCTTTTCCGCGCTTGATGCAGCCTCTACTGGGCGACCAAGTGGGTCGTGGATCGCTACGACAACCATCTCATGCACGGTGCACCTTCTCGCCTTCCTCCTTCACCTAACTCACTGTGCCACTCTCCCCTTTACCCCTCTCCATACTCCCATCCACTCCCGCCCTCCCTCCTTCCCTCCCTCCCTTCCTTCTCTTCGCCTCTGCAGCCTCTACTGGGCGACCAAGTGGGTGGCGGATCGCTATGACAACCATCTCATGCGCGCGAATGCGTGGCACCACCGCAGTGACTCCGTCTCATCCTTCGCTGCGCTCTTGGGCGTGGGTGAGTGCTGCTCTCTTGGGCGTGGGTGAGTGCTGCTCTCTTGGGCGTGGTTTGGCTTTGGTTTGGTTTGGTTTGGTTTGGTTTGGTTCGGTTTTGCCCGACCGCTAGAAAGAGACTCTGTCTCGTAAGCTTCCGGCGTTCCCATTCCCGTTTTTGGCATGGCAGGCGGGGCAATGGCGGGTTTCCCCATTCTTGACCCTGTGGCAGCTCTCTTTGTGGCAGCTCTCATCGCCAAAGCAGGCGGCAGCATTGCCTATCAGAGGTCAGAGGCGGAGGAAGAGTTGTCCTTTGAGAGGCAGGCAGACAGACAAACAGACAGACAAACAGACAAACAGACAGTCAAACAGACAGACAAACAGACAAACAGACAGTCAAACAGACAAACAGACAGTCAAACAGACAGACAAACAGACAGTCAAACAGACAGACAAACAGACAAACAGACAAACAGACAGTCAAACAGACAAACAGACAGTCAAACAGACAAACAAACAGACAAACAGACAGTCAAACAGACAAACAGACAGACAAACAGACAGTCAAACAGACAGACAAACAGACAGTCAAACAGACAGACAAACAGACAAGCAGACAGTCAAACAGACAAACAGACAGACAAACAGACAGTCAAACAGACAGACAAACAGACAGACAAACAGACAGTCAAACAGACAGACAACCAAACAGAGAGTGGAGTGTATTGTTCCCTGTGCTGCCCTCTCTTCATCCCTTGCCGTCTCCGCATTCGATCACTGTCATTCAAACCCCCGTTTTCCGTTCCTATCTTATTCCTTTCCTAACTTATTCCTTTCCTAACTTATTCCTTTCCATTGGATCTAAAGAGCCAATCTTATTTCGAGCTTCTTCTTTCTCCCTTCCACAAACGTGCTTACTTTCCTCCATTCAGCGTTCAAGACCTAGTGGACGTGGGAGTTTCTGAGAAGGTTCTTCAGCCAATCAGAGCAGAAATCATGGCCTCTCCTGGAGTGCTGGTGTGCCCTTCTCTCATGCCCTTCTCTCATGCCCCTTCTCTCGTGCCCTTCTCTCGTGCCCTTCTCTCCCATTTCGAGCTTTGATACGTCTGACACGTCTCAAAAGTCGCCTATGCTCATTTCTACTTTCCCTTCTCTATCCTCTGTTCCCTTAAGCCCTTTTTCACTTTTATTTTGTACCGTTTTCCTTCCCTAATAGCCTCCGTTCCCCTCGCATTCCTATGCCTTTGCATCTATCCCCGGTGTTTCACGCTCCCTTGCAGTCCCCTGTGTTTCTGTCCATGCATTCCCAAGGTCCCCTGCTTCTCATTCCTTTTGCATTACTCTCTCCTCCTCCTGTCTCTCCCTTCCTTTCCCCTTCCCCCCCCCTCTCTCCCCCCCCTCCCTTTCCCAACCTCCCCTCCCTCCCCCCCAGGGTTGCCACAATCTGAGGGGCAGGCGCATGGGGCCGTGGCTGCACGTCGATGCGCACATAGAGGTGGGGGGGGGCGGGGGGGGGGAGTGGGAAGGGGAAGGGGGAAGAGGGAAAGGGGTATGGGGGAGGGGTATGGGGTATGGGGAAGAGGGAAAGTTTGAGGGGCAGGCGCATGGGGCCATGGCTGCATGTGGATGCGCACATAGAGGTGGGGGAGGGGGAGGTGGGGGTAAGTGGCGGGGGTAGTGAAAAAGGGAACTGGGGAAGGGTTATGGTCAAACTAGAGGCAGGCGCATGGGGCCGTGGCTGCATGTCGATGCGCACATAGAGGTGGAAAGAGGTGGGGGGAGGGAAGGGGAAGGTGGGGGGGAGGGGGAAGGGGGAATGGAAAAATGGGTGATTGGGTAAAGAGGGAATTGGGGAAGGGGGAACGACTTTGGAGGATCCTCTCCTCTCTCAAGCGGTCCTTTGTATTCATTAGAAGCCTGTGTACATAGCTAGGCATGTGGGCTGGGTAGAAGCATGCATCCCGCTGTTGGGGTTCAGTGCCATGCTGCGGCTGGCCTCTACTTGGTCAGCGTAGTGGGCCGCCTGGACCTCCAGAGGCAGGCGGTGCTGCAAGGGTATATCGGACGCCTCGGCGCGTTCCAACTGCAGTAGCTCGAGGGCGCGTGGCGGAAGCGTCGCTTCGCACTCCGCCAGCCAGGTATGAAGGGTGGTGGGGCTGGTGAACGGAGGCGCCAGGGGCCGGAGGGCCTTTGTTAGAGGGCTAGCAGCTGCGGCGGGCAGGGAGGCGAGGAGGGCGTGAGCACGGGTGGAGCTAGTCAGAAAGGAGTGAGGGCCTTCCACCGTAGGGTCCGTGAGCCCAAGGCCTCCTAGAGAAGGCGGTAGGGACGCCTGGGCCCAGGTGCGAAGCTCCTCGGCTTCCCCTCGTGGCGTCTGCAGGCCACATGCGCGAAGGAGCGTGTAGAAGAGGTCCTGCCCCCACCTGGACCACTCGGCTGCCGGGAGCAGGTTCACGGGTGTCATGCGCACGAGGTATGAGTCTCGGCGAGAGATGCACCAGTGGAGCAGTAAGGACACCACCTGCAGGCCCATGGTGGCTAGGACCGGTAAGGGCGTTGCCATGGAGGCGAGCTGGGCCCTAAGGAAGGTGGAAGCCCCCTCTCTCTCCCTCGTCTTCTCCCTCTCCCTCTCCCTCTATTTCCTTTTTTCCCTCCTCCCCCTGCTCCTCAGGTGCATCCATCACTCACAGTGGCAGCACCACATGACAGCGCGCAGGCGGCACGGTACCACCTGCAGAACCACTTCCCCTCCAAAACAGAGGCTGGCTTCCACATAGGTGGCCCTCTCTCTCGCCCCATCTCCGTTCCTCTCCTCCTCTCTTCCTCCCCCGCTCAGGTGGATCCATCGCTCTCCGTGGCAGCAGCGCATGACATTGCGCAGGCAGCACGGCACCACCTGCAGCGCCACTTCCCTTCAATAACCGAAGCACTCTTTCACATAGGTGTGTGTGCTGCACGCCACGAGAGGCTGATAGTCTTGCGCACCTAATTAACCACACACGCACCAGAGAAGAACCTTGTAACGCAAGTTACGCCCTTGTGAGGTTCTCACGAGGTTACACGGTTACAAGGTTACAAGGCTCTTCTTCACAAGTAAACCTTCTTCTATGCCACAGAAGAACCTCGTAAAACAAGTGTGTCATTCCCTTGACGACCCACTTCATCCCTGACAAATCTTCTTCTTTTGGGGCCTCAAAACTAGTTATTGCTAGCTCTCAGCGCGGCTGTCAAATCCTCTTCTTTTTGGGGGCCACCACACCAGTTGCCCCACTAGATGCATCCTCCTGACCCTTCCCCCCATGGCACAGCTTTCCATGCGCACTCCCCAGTCGTATGCAGCTCCTGCTGTTACACTCACCACAAGTGAAATGAGGCCCTTGAAAAGCACACACTCCCTACCGCACTCCACCCCACCCCACTGCACCCCTACCAGACCCGGCAGATGGCCGATTGCCATCGCCTCTGGATCCAACTTGCCCCCTTAACCCACAAGCATGGGTCCAGGGGAAGTCAAAAGCCGGTCCCCCTCCTCAACATGCTGCAGATGCTGTTTCTGATAGCACTGCTTCTGAGGGCGCTGCTGGCGCTCCTGCCCCTGTTGCCTTGGATGCCTCTACTACTACTGCTGCGTCTGCTCCTGCTAACGCTGGCTCTTCCACTACTACTGCCCCTTCTGCTGCCGTTGGTGGTTCGAGCCCCGAGGGGCACCATAAGAAGCCTGTTGTTCAGACGCCTCAAACATAGGGAACAGTCCCAGTCCCAATGGGCTCATACCAGAAAGTGGTGCTTTCACGTGATAGGAGTCTAGTTTTGAGGCGCCTCAAAACTAAAGCTGGCTTCTTGTTGCAGGCTGCCTCACAATCAAGCGTGATAGGAGTCTAGTTTTGAGACACCTAGGAGTCAAAACTAGGTCCCGGTGGACTCATATCAGAAAGTGGTGCTTTCTTCCGCCATCCACCGTTTCGGTGACATGCGTTGGATCGTTGGATACGCGTGCTACATGTCTTGAATTCAGGAGAACAGAGGAGTTGTGGTGGATTGTGCCGCTAGCAGTTGAAAGAAGAGGAAAGAAGATGGAGGTGATGGTGATGTGACTCTGCATGTGAGCAACTCTATATGATGGTACCGTTAAAGCGCGGATATAAGACCCCTATGTCTTATCATATACCTAGGTGAAAAACTGGAAAGTTGCTTACAGGCCCCCAAATTGGTTTTGGGGGTGTCTGATCTTAGAACTGAATGATGAATGACTAGAGAACCTAGGTACAAGGATATATGTCTAAAGGTTATACTCGCTAAGAGGTGACCCTATACAGTCTATACAAACATTAGAGATACAAATGTTTGACACACCTCTTAGACTGCCTAGGGGCAGTTCCTAAACAAGCAGCTCAGGGCGGCACTACTAGTCCAGCCACTGAGACAAGGGTCTAAAGACCAGTCAAAAGGAGTACAGGCAAGGCAACAACAAGACCAGGGCGGCACTACTAGTCCAGCCACTGGGAGAGGACACAAGTCCAGTCTGAGTAAATATATATAAAGGACAGTACAAAGTCAAGGCCCTAGCAAGTGAGAGGCTACAGGAACTAGACCGAGCTGCACACAGTGCCGCTGATGATCTTTAGGCGCAAGCGCCTTTGTAAAGATATCAGCTGTATTGGCACCTGAGGCCAAGTGTACTACGCGAGCCTGGCGGCGCTGTCAGCCATCGGAGCTCCTGTGCCGCCATGGCACCGGCGTAGATCTCGGCCTCACAGCTGGACTGGGCAATAGACGAGGAGCGGGTAGCTCTCCACGAGACGACACCTGAACCAAGGCTGAAGCAGTAGCCCTGTGAAGACCTGAGGGTCTCGGCGTCGTCTGCCCAAGAAGCGTCTGAGTGTCCGGTAAGGACCGCTGGCCTGCGTCCTCCTAGCACTAACCCCATGCCCGATGTACTTGCGAGATAACGCAAAACCCTCTTAGCGGCAGACCAGTGCTGCGGTCAGTGTCTACCTGTGGCCACAAAGCGAGCCAGGATGCTGAGAGGGTATGCGAGATCTGGGCAAGTGCAATTCATCAGGTACATGAGGCAACCCACCAGCTCTGCGTAAGGGCCACTGGGCTCTACTGACTCCTCAGGAACTGGAGCGGAGAGTCTGTGGTCTACAGGCAGAGGGGTGGGCTGTGCAGAGGAGAACTGAAGGCCGAACCTCTAAAGAACCTGGCGCACCAAGTGTGATTGAGTCAAAGTGATGGTGCGCGCTGCTCTGTCCCTGGAGATCTGCAAACCAAGGTAACGGCGCAGTTCTCCAAGGTCACTGCAAGTGTGTCTCTTCAGCAGCTCTGCCTTCACCGAGGCCAGTGCGTCCTTGTCTGCTGTGGCAAAGACCAGATCATCCATGTAAACGAGGATGTAGAACGGAGTCTGGCCAGTACGAACGAAGAGTGAGGGGTCTGCGGAGGACGGAAAGAACTGCAGGTCAGCTAGCGTAGCACGCAGCGTGTCGTGCCACTTACAGGGAGCCTGCCGCAGGCCGTAGACCGGACACCGCAGGAGCCACTGGGTCCCAGGAGGGAAGGTGCCAGTGAAACCCTGAGGGCGACGCAGGTAGACCTGCTCGTGTAGGCTGCCCTGAAGAAACGCAGTGGAGAAGTCGAGGGAGTGAAGCTCGTAGTCACGCTGGGCAGCTACGTGTAGCAGCACCCGAAGAGTAGTCATCTTCGGGGTCGGAGCGAAGGTCTGGAAGAAGTCCACCCCCTCACGCTGACTGAAACCTCTAGCCACGTAGCGCACCTTGAACACAGGCGGCTCTCCAGGAGGGCGCTTCACCTTGAAGAGCCAGCGGCCATCGACTACGTTCACCCCAGGTGGGGGAACTGCATTGATGTAGGTGCCGGTGGATCTCCAAGATGCCATCTCCTGCTCCATGGCAGCTATCCACTGAGAGGCCCAAGGTCCCGAGGTCGCCTCAGCATAAGTGCGAGGGGTCGGGATGTCGAAGGCGTCTAGGTCACCCTCAGGGACTAACAGCATGGAACAGAGATGGGGAGCAGCCTCTAACAGGAAAACAAGCTCGAACTGGCGGTCCTCCAGGACGTCACTGCCGAGGGTAGGAGCACCCCCGACAGACGGAGGACATGCAGGGTTAAAGACCAGAGCGGTGGCGTAGTAAAGGCGGCAGGTAGAGGCAAAGTGAGCGACCGCAGCGACAAGAGCGTCAAGACACGAGACCGGAACGGACGGGTCGGTAACGAGAGAGGCGAGGACCCGAGGAACAAGAGGACGAGCGGCACGAAGGTAGTCAGACAGAGGAGGAGGCGCAACGGTAAGAGAGGACGGAGGAGGCGATTGTAGAGGGGGAGGACGAGACGCGTGGGAACGGAGCATCATAGGGTGAGAGCGCGGGACAGGAGAGACAGGACGCGCGCGGGAGGGACGGCGGGACCAGACATGAGATCGAGGCGTCGGGTCAGGAGACAAAGGAGGGGACACAAGGGGGGAGCGAGGGGGAAGACGAGCCAAGGACGAGTCCGGCGGAGGGAACACTGGGCCATAGACAGGAAGAGGAGGAGACAGCAGGAGAGGAACAGACGCAGGGTCAGGGGACGGAAGGCCGAGTAGGCGAAGGGCGAACACCGGTGGGGACGGCTGCTGCGGCGGCACAACAGCGACACCGGGACTGCAAGCTGCTCCTCGGCTACCTCCGGGACACTCCACTCATGCACCCCCAGAAGGAACACCCCCAGAGCCCGAAACCCCTCGAGCACTGGGACCACCCCCAGGGCCACCGGGACAGGCCACGACAGGAACCCCAGGACTAGCACCCACCCCAACGCGAGCACCCCCAGAGTCGTCGAACTGCTGCTGCGACGGCGGCGACGGAGACGACGGCTGCGACAGCAGAGGCGACGGCGGCTGCAGAGGCGGTGGAGGAGGAGATATTTGGGGAGGGGCAGACGGCGAGGACTGTGCCGCAGGATCACCAGAGTCAGAAGACTCCTCGACTGGGACAACCGACGGGAGAGGGGTGACGTGGGACACACCAGAGGGGGCAGGACGGGGAGGGGGAGGGGGGGGGGGCAGGGAGCACCAGGGAAGGAGTGACCAGGAACAGGGGGGGAGTAACAGGGGGTTCGCGGTGGGGGAAGCGACGGTAGAAGGAGACGGACTCGTCAAAGGTGACGTCGCGAGAGTGAAAGAACCGGTGAGACGGCGGGTGGTAGAAGTGCCAGTGAGCTTGTCTGTGCCAGAGGCACGAACGTGAGCAAGGCAGCCCCGGATGTGGAACGCAGACGCGTCACCAGGGGACCCGGTCCAAAGAAGGGTCGGCGAAACCTGCGGCCTCTGGGGGTGCGGCCACAGGTTAAGCTGGTGAGCAGCGTAGCGCACGGCGAACGGCCACAGAAAATGGGGTGCACCGGCATGGATCATGGAGGTGCGAGCCACCTCCATGACCAAATCGATGCGTCGCTCAGCGACCCCATTCTGCTGTGGGGAGTCCGGCTGGGTGAACGTCTGGGTGATGCCCTCCGCACGACAGATTCGACCAAGGACACCTGAGGCAAACTCGCCACCGCGGTCTGAGTGAAGCCGCAAGACAGGGAGACCTCGGTGGACACACGCAGAGACAAGCCAGGGGATGAGAGCGTCAGGCACGTCGGCCTTTTGCTCCAAGGGAAAGACTGTAGTGTAGCGAGTGAAGTCGTCGACAAGCACGAGGAAGTTGCGCTCTCGACGCGGCCCATGGACGGGGGCGGGGCCCCAGACGTCCATGTGCTAGGTCTGCAGCGGCGCGGCAGTAGGGGGAAACGAGGAGGAGTGAGGGGCACGGCGAAGCCGACCCTCAACACAAGGCGTGCACAGTGGAGCAGGGGAGGAGGGAAAAGCGGGAAACGAACCGGGGAGACCAAGGACGAGACCGTGCTGGGACATGTGAGGCAGACGCGGGAGCGCAGGGTGACCTAGGCGGTGGTGCCACAGGAGAGTCGGGTGAGTGAGGGACCGGCAGGAGCAGGCAGCAGCAACCTGGGAAGACGCAGCCACCTGAGGGGGCGCCCCAGCCGGGGGGGTCGCGGTGTCCAGGGTGAACAGGCCGGACACCGGGTCCCGGGGGAACGTGGAAAGGGGGGCACCAGTGGCGGCCTCGGTACAGACAACATACCGCTCGTGAACAGGGAACGTAGTGGTGACGTCAAGTTCCTGGAGGCAGCCGACACCAACTAGGTTCCTGGAGAACGAGGGGATATGCAGACCTGTGAGAGAGCCCGAGGGAACCGCCGGACAGGGAAGTGTGGTGGAACTGCGGGCGACTACTGGACCGTTGGAGGGGTCAGCAAGAGAAACTGCAGCAGGAACAGGAAGCGGCGTCAGCGTAGTGGAGTCGCGGAAGAAACACCGGGAAGCACCAGAGTCCAAGGTGAAGGAAAGCGCAACAGTGGCGTGTGGCGACGGGGCAATGACGGAAGCACCAAGGCTAAACAAAGCAGGAGCTCCTACGCTTGACGCAGCAGGGGAGGCTAAGCTAGGCACACCTACACTAGGTGACAAGGAGTAATAAGAGGGTAGCACACTAGAGTCATCAGCATACATTACATGCAGGGCAGCAACAATGCCATCCATGTCCATGTCAAAAATCTGAACTCTACGACTAAGCAAACTGTGCCAGTCCGGGAGGTCGGGCGACGGGCCGAAGCGCTGACGAAACAGGTCGTCCAGGCGACGAAAACAGCGGGCAGTGGTGTGACCGATCTTACCGCAAACGAAGCCGCGGCGAGGACCGGTCTGGAGCTGGTACTGACAGCGCACGCCTCCCGAACCGCCACCCGGTACACCACCACCCGCACGGCCACCACCAGCGCCAGGCCACCCGGGCGGGAGGCCACTCGCCGGCCTCGTTTGCTGCGATTGCTGCGGCTGGTGCTGGGGCTGCGGCTGCTGCTGCTGCTGCGGCTGCTGGGGCGGCTGTCAGCCGAACCCGGCAGGGTCCCCGTGTCCGCTCCACCACCAGGCGACCCGACTCCGCCACTACCTCCACCTGCACCCCCACCCCCTCCGCCGCGCCCAGACTTGGGGCGGCGGCCCTTCCCCGCACGGAACTGCGCTGCAGCGGCGGTCTCAGCCACAGCTGCAGAACCATCGGAGAAGGTGCACTGAGCAGGGGCACAACCCTGAAAGATAGGGACCGGCA